GAAGCATCTTTGCTCTGGAAATTGTTATTGAATATGTTAATGCTGTAATGAAATGCTTCTAATCATGTGGTTATTAAATAATTAAAAAATAAATAAATAAATAAATCCCAAAAAAATTTTCCAAAAAAAAAAAAGAGCGGCTATTCACAGAGCATTTGCACTGCATTAGGTGTCCTAAGTAATCTAGAGTACATGGAAAATGAGCCTACATTATACACAAAACACTTTATCGCTTTATACAAGGGCCTGAGCACCTGCAGATTTGGGTATTCCAGGGGTCCTAGAACAAACTGTTCATAGATACTAAGGGATAACTACATAGTCTTCTTTCTGGGCAGAGAGGTTATAGAAAATATTTTCTTCTTGGTTGTTTTCTATCTTTTCTTAGTTGATGGCAATAAATGTGTGAACAGAAAAAGCAAAACTACTAAATAGAAAATGAATAAAAGTACGAGTCTCAAAAGAATAAAAAAGGACTAAGAGGCCCGGCATGGCGGTGCATGCCTTTAATCCCAGCACTTGGGGGCAGGGAGGGTACAGAGGCAGGCAGATCTGTGAGTTCAAGGGGAAAAAAAGGACTCAGAAATGGTACCAGTTTAGCCTGACGGAATGGCTCCTGCAAAGAGGGGAGTCAAGAAGAAGGGCCTTTCTGCCATCAATGAGATGGTGACTGGGAATACACCATCAACATTTACAAGCACACCAGTGGAGAGGCGTCTAGAAACATGCCCTCAGGCACTCAAAGAAATCCAGAATTCACCATGAAGATGGGAATTCCAGATGTGTGCACTGATACTGGGCTCAACAAAGCTGTCTGGGTCAAAGGAATAAGGAATGTTCCATATCGTATCTGTGTTCATGTGTCCAAAAAACGTAATGAGAATAAGGATTCACCAAACAAGCTGTATATATACTTTGGTAACCTATGTCCCCATTACCACATTCAAAAATCTACAGAGAGTCAATGTAGATGAGAACTGCTGAGATTCAAATAAAGTTAAAGCTCAGGGGACTGAGAAAGGGATTTCATTATTATCTCTTCTGCAAAACATTCCTCTCTTCCAGTTCAGTTAAACACACGGTCAATTAATCCCCCAAATTTCCTTCTGCTTTAAAAAAAAAAAAGGTAAGTCAGAAAAAAATTTAATCCTTTCTCAAATAATACAAAGTAGATAACAAAATTATGTGGTATAGAAATATACTGAACACATGTATAGTGGCTAAGAATTTAGCAGGTATAGTTGTACAGAGGAAGATTTTAGTTTGAGTTTTCCAAGTCATAAATAAAAACTCTTGTCTTACTAAAAAGCAGCAAGCCATATTAAAACTGGCATGGGACTGGTGGCCCATGCCTTAAGTTTCAACAGTCAGAAGGTAGGGGCAAGCATATTAAAACTGGCTTTGAGCTGGGACTGGTGGCCCATGCCTTAAGTTTCAACAGTCAGAAGGTAGGGGCAAGCAGATCTCTGGGAAATCAAGGACAGCCTTGTCTACACAGCAAGTTCCAGACCAGCTGGGGCTATAGGGAAACCCTGTCTCAGAAAGACAAAACTAGGCTTTGTTTCTTGGGCCTTCCCTTTCCTCCTTCAGGTAAATCACTGAATTTACTCAATGTAGCAGTATGTACAATTAAAAAGGCCTTGCTTTCCTAGAAACTACCTCTTGGAAGACACAGAATGTGTCCTAGGTAACCAAAGAGATACAGGTAAGCTTAGGGGAAAGCTTTTAATATTTTTCTGATTAGAAAAAGCAGACCCACTAGGCATCTTCCTCTCTGCCTATAGCACTTGCAATCCTAAATATGTAAGCTAATTGTTAAAGATGTCAAACCAGAAAGGAGATAGCCCTGGTCATTTGAGAAAACAAAACTTTTCAGTCAGGCTAAAGCAAAATGAGGAATACGGGAGAAATAAATCTGACTGAAAAAAATGAACAGATGAAAAGAAATGTTAATGGCTGTTACCTAATTCAAGACGCACAGATTATTTTTATCAACACTACAAATTTGAGGCCCAAATGCAATCCCTTTATAGTTTCTACAAAAAAATATTCGGAGAAAATGTGATCCTTAATTATATAATAATAGAAGTGTAAACTCAGTAAACTGACTAGACCAGTGACGCTAAGGAACCTTTCTATTTTTATTTCCCTTTAGGTTTTTTTTTTAAAATCTTATTTATTTATTTATTTTTGGTCTTTTTGAGACAGGGTCTCCCTGTAGCACCAGCTGTCCTGGAACTCACTATATAGACCAGGCTGGCCTTGAACTCAGAGATCCGCCTGCCTCTGCCTCCCGAGTGCTGGGATTAAAGGTGTGCGCCACCACGACCAGCCCAATCTTTTTTATTTTTATTTATTGATGACTCTGCATGTGGCACCATGTGGGTGCTGGGAAGCAAACCTGGGTCCTCTGCAAGAATCTCTCCCTCCCCCTTTAAGTAGGGGTGCAGAGTCTCACTATGTAGTCCTCGCTGGCCTGGAACTTGCTATGTACATCATACTGGACTTGAACTCACAGAGAGCCACATGCCTCTGCCTCTGAATGCTAGGATTACAGGCATGCTCAGCATTACGAATGATTCTTATTAAGAAGTGGCTTACAGCCTGCTGTGGTGGTGCATGTGGAAGTAGAGGTAGACAGATCTTTACGAGATAGAGGTCAGTCTGGTCTACATGGTGAATTCCAGGCCAACTGGGTCTACAGTGAGACCCTGTCTCAAACAAAACAAAATCCAAAAAAGTAGCTCAGACATGTAAACCTAGCCCATGGGAGGCTGAGGCAGGAGAATCACCAGTTTGAGGCCAAACCAGGCTATGCAGCAAGTTTCAGGCTAACCTCAGCTACAGAGTGAAACCCTAGCTCAAAAAGTCAAAGAGGGGCTAGAGAGATGGCTCAGCAGTTAAGAGCACAGCACAGGTTGCTCTTCCAGAGGACCCAGGTTCAATTCCCAGCACCCACATGGCAGCTAACCATCACTTCCAGGGGATCCAATGCCCTCTTCTGGCCACTATGGGCATTGCCCAACATGGGTGCACTTACATACAAGCAAAACACCTATATACATAAAATAATATAAATAAAACTTTAATAAATGAATACACAGGAACCTGGCATGGTGGGGCTTGCCTTTAATCCCAGCACTCAGGAGGCAGAGGCAGGCCTATCTCTGTGAATTCAAGGTCAGCTGGATCTACACAGTAAGTTTCAGGCCAGCTGAGGCTACAGGGAGACCCTATCTCAAAAAGGCCAAATAAATAAATACAGACTCTATGATAAGACAAAATGATATATGAGATATACATTCTAGTTCACAATACTGAAGTCTAAGCTATGATGTCTATAGCAGATTAAGGACATTTTGGAGTTAAGAAGCTCTGACTTCTGAAATACCTAAGAGATTTACTCAAATATAGAGTATACCCAGGATTCTGAAACCAAACTACAAAAGCCATTAGCATTTCAACTCCTAATCATACCATCTGCCCCAACTTACCTCACACAACATTCCACTGCTCGAAACCAGTGAAGCATTTCATCATGTAGAGTACACAACTGAAGGCAAGACAGAAATACCTTCTCAGCATCACTATACCAGCCTGCGTCAGAAAGAAATCCACCTGAGGAACAAGAGAAAAGCTACAGTGATCTACTTATAAAGAAATACCTAAAACAAACCCCCATAATGAGTCTCTTGTGTTTAACTTAAAGATATTCCTACCAGAGGGTAGCTCCCTTGGTAGAACAGTATGTAGCATGCTCATGCACTGGGCTGAAAAGAAGTAGAAGAGGAAGGAGGGAGAAAGGTTTTGAGTATATTCACTACGCTCAAAGATGAAACTATAAATAAAGGGTCAAACAATTTAACTTTCTAAGACTATTCCACAGGCTAAGGCTTCATGTTTTCTAGTTGCTATCAAGCTTGGTTCTTTTGTGTTTGGGGGAGGGAGCTATGGGGACTGAACCCAGGGTCTCACACATATGAGCAAGGTTCTAATGCTGAGCAGTATTTCTCCCTCCTTTCCTTTCTTTCTTCCCTTCCCTTTCCTTCCCCTCCCTGGCTATCTATTATACATATTTGTATTAAGCAATCGTCTACTTAGCATCCTAACATTTATTTTGATATGTTGGTTATTAGGCTATCTCCCAGCTTCAAGTCTAGCTAGGCTGCTTTATGATATAGAGAAAGGATTCTACAACTATATTTCTTCTTGCCAGCTGGCTTGCTGTTAAGTTCTGCTGGCAGAAAGTGCTAGAGATAGGTGCTGCAAGACTGGACAGGCAAGAAGCACTCTGTCCTACTGCTGACAGGATATGTTTCCTTAGATTGGCAGAGACAGTTCATTCTAGTAAGCAGTGGTCATTCCAGTTGTGGTTTTCAACACTTGCAAAACCAGTTTCACAGCACCTGTCAGCAATACCAGCAACAACTAGTTGGATGCTAGCTCTCAGACCCTTTCTGTGGGCCTGTTTCCAATGTTCTACAGCACTGGCACCATCCTAGCAACACCTCCATACCACAGGGAAATTAAAGCTCCTGAATTTCAGTCATTCCAGTCTTTTTGGCTCCTTGACTCCTAGGTGAGGTAGCTGTAATCCTAGCTACTTGGAGTATTATGCATGTATACTATCATTCCCTTTTTGGCTAATCAGTCTCTACTGAATGGATAAAATGTTAGATTAAAATTTAATCTCTACAACAGGTAGAGACCTTGAGAACTGTTAAATGAAAAAAGCTAGTCAAAAAAAAAAAAAATCACATATTTTATGAATCCATTGATACGAACTGCCCACAACAGGCAAAGCTATAGAGACAAAATGGGTGCTGGCTGCTGGTGTAGAAGAAGGATGGGCAGTGGTTGTTAGTGGGGGTGGGTTTCTTTTGCGGTGATAGTAGCATTTAAAATCTGTGATATTTAAAAAATGTAATGACTATTAAAACCTCTGAATTGCATATTTTATTGTAGGCGAATTGTATGTGAATTACTCCTATATAAAGATGTTATTTCTACATATCATAGGTCACCAAAATGGCTCAGCGGATAAAGGTGCTTGCTGCACAAGTCTGATACCTGAGTATGATCTCTGGAACTCATGCAAAGGTGGAAGGAGAACAGACACATGTATGCCGTGGCATCCAAAGTCATATCCCCACCATACACACACACACACACACACACACACACACACGCACATACACACTCTCTCTGTAAAAATTTTCATGTATTAGTTATACTTCTAGTATGAAGCATCTTTACTCTCTCTAATTTTAAGAATAATACTGATGAAGCACTGGGCATGGTGGCCAATGCCTTTAATCCCAGAGGCAGGCGGATCTCTGTGCGTTCCAGGCCAGCTGAGGGCTACAAAGAGACTCTGTCTCAAAGAGACCAAAATATAAAAAACTTAAAAAAGAAAAAAAAAGATTAATACTGATGATATAACTATAAACTTGCTAGACTTGATTTTACTCTATGATCATCCTAATGAATAAGGTTGGTATAGTGTATGTGGAGATAACAAAATACCTCCATGAATGCTAGCTTTCCTGGCTTTCCTTCTCCTTGATAATCAATTTCTCATTCACAGATTTAACATGACCACACTATAACTAATGTCATTAACATTTACCAAAAGTGCAAACACATTATTATCAGAGACATCCTCTGGACAACTGTTGTAATTTATTCCTTGAAACTATTAAAGGATAAATGCTGAGGAGAATGTTCTGAAGTTCCTCCAGCAAACTGAAAATTGTTTCAAGTATAAAGGAAATGATAAAAAAATCGACAATAAATGTGCACAGAAGTGAGAGAAAAACATGTGCATACATTAATTCAAGAAGCTAAAAACGCTGGGTCTGGTGGCACTCCGGAGGCAGAGGCAGGTGGATGCCTGTGAGATAGAGCCCAGCCTGGTCTACATAGTGAATTCTAGGCCAGCTGGGGCTACAGGAAGACCCTGTCTCAAAAAGATACTTTCTTATATACAATGTCATCGTTGTGGGAAGCAGGAAAATGGTTTAAAGGACTCTATTATTTTGCAACTTCTAGGACAAGAATCAAGTTTTTAAACCTTAAATTACCAGGTGATGGTGGTGTACACCTTTAATCACAGTACTTAGAAAGCAGAAATCAGATGGATTTCTGTGAATTTGGGGCCTGCCTGGTCTAAACAGCAAGTTGCAAATTAGCCAGGGTTACACAGCAGTGCCCTGTCTCAAAACAAAACAGTAAAAAATCTTAAATAAAGAAGGTAGAGAGCCACGGATGGCGGCATACCCCTGTCATTCCAGCACTTGTAAGGGTAAGGCAGGAGTAACCTAAACTCTACACCATCCAGGCCAACCAAGTGAGACATTGAAAACAGGATGAGGTTTGGGGACTGGGGATGTACTTCAGTACTACAGTGTTTGTCTAGCATATGCCAGGCCTAAAATTTGATCTCTAGCAGAGGAAAAAACAAGCATGTGGGGGTATAGGGGACTAACAACTTTAACAAGCAATTGCTACAAAATACTAGTATTTTTCTACATGAGTAAAATTTTCAAGAATTTTTTTAAAAAAATTATATTATTTTTTTCATGTGTATGAGTTTATTGCTTGCATGTGTAGGTAGGTGCATCCATGTCAAACCCACAGGTCAGAAAAGAGTGTCAGATTTCCTGGAACTGGAGTTACTGATGGTTAGCTGCCACATGGGTGCTAGGAATCAAACCCTGGTCCTCTGTAAGAATAACCAATGCTCTTAACCACTGAGGCATCTCTCCAGCCCTCAAGAATGTTTTTATACTTGTGTTTTCACTATCCTCACATCTTCAAAAAAAATTCAAAACAACTCATTTGGGACTAGAGAGATTGCTCAGGAGTTAAAAGCACTTACTGTTCTTGCAGAGCTCCCAAGTTTGGTTCCCAGCGCCCACATCTGGGCAGCTCTCAACCACTTATAACTTTAGTTCCAGATATGCTGATGCCTCTTCTAGTTGTGAGAGACACCTGCATTCATGTGCACATATCTTCCAATCGACACACACAAGTACACATAATTAAAAATAAAAATGTCTTTGAAAAAAACCTCATTTTAGGGATACAAAAGAGTCCCTAAAAATGTTAAGTTTTAGAACAGAGGAGCTCAGCAGTTAGGAGCCCTGTTGCTCTTGTAGAGGACCTGGGTTTGGTCCAGTTCCAAAGGATTTGATGCCCTCTTCTGGCCTCCACAGGCATTGTACTCATGTGGTGCACTTACATACAAGCAGGTAAACACCCATACACATAAAATAAAGTTATGTTTAAAAGGATTAGGTCTCATGCTATAGTATATAGCAAACAGTTAAAAGAATTTGGTGAGGGGGGGCTGGAGAGATGGCTCTTTTGGCCACTGCAGGCACCTCCATGCACACTTATGTAAAATAATTTTTTTTGGGGGGGGGTCTTTCTTGAGACAAGGTCTCCCTGTAACCCCAGCTGTCCTGGAACTCACTATACAGACCAGGCTGGCCTTGAACTCACAGAGATCTGCCTGCCTCTGCCTCCCAAGTGCTGGGACAAAAGGCATGTGCCACTATGCCCAGCTAAAAAATATTTCTTAAGGGGCTGGAGAGATGATGGCTCAGCAGTTAAGAACATTGATTGTTCTTACAGAAGACCAGGGTTCAAATCCCAGCACCCACATGGCAGCTAACAACAAATAATAAAATTTTTTTTTAAAAGATGGAAGGCAAGGACTGACACTTGAGGGTTATCCTCTGACCTCCATGCTCTCGGCAATACATGCATACGCATACACACACACACACACACACACACATATATATATTTAAAAAAAAAAAAGAATATGGTGACAGCATGATGTGGCAGAAAGATATGTATTTTGGAATCACAAAGACACAGGATTCTAAACATAGCTCACTGAAAGCTATGAGTTGATCAACTTCTCTAAGTCTACTTCCTCATTTGTAAATTGCCATTATTACTGCTGCTTTGCTGGAATGCCATGAAGATTCAGGAAGATGCCATTTAAATACCTAGTATCGTGCTTGGCACAGAATTCAAGTTGAATAAATCAACCTAGTTCTAACAGTTTTCTTACAACCTCTCTATGCAGACTTCTTACAACCTCTCTATGCAGACTTTGAGAAACTCTTGGAAGAGTATTTTATCGAAAGCAGTTTTAATGATTCATTGCAGAATAAAACTCTCCTCTATTTTACCATTACTTACCTAAAACAAAGCCAACCTGAATGGCCTTCTCCTTTACTGTAGAATCTGATTCTGCTATGTAGGAGCACCGCCTACTGAATGAGTAGGCCAAGACTGAAGCAACTTTAACACCATGATCCATCAAAGCCTGAAAACAATGATGAAGCAAATGTCTGAAAGAGAAGAGAAAGGTTATTCTAGAGGTAATTCATTCTCACCTCTTGAGAGGGCTAGCTGCTCCTCTATTAAATAATTACACCATGATTTTCCAAACAGAGTGTTTTGGCTTATTAATTATGAGGCCACCATAATTAAAAACGTAACCTAGTCTTTTTACCAAGAAGATGATCCTGCAATTCTTGGGAAAATCAGTGTGACTCGATGTCAATGGAGAATGGGGCTAGCTTATAAAATCAGCTTTAAAAATTAATTATACTCAGAGACATGGCTCAGCAGTTAAGACTACTGGCTACTCTTGCAAAGGACACAGGTTTGGTTCCCAGCACCCACATGGTGGCCGACAACCATCCATAATTCCAGTTCCAGGGGATCTGATGCCCTCTTCTGGTCTCTACAGGCATTGCATGCATGTTGATGTACCTACCTACATACATGCAGGCAAAACACTCATGCACATAAAATTAATTTTTTTTTTTTGGTCTTTTTGAGACAGGGTCTCCTTGTAGCCCCAGCTGTCCTAGAACTTGCTATGTAGGCCAGGATGGCTTTGAACTCACAGAGATCCACCTGCCTCTGCCTCCCAAGTACTGGGATTAAAGGCATGAGCCACTATGCCCAGCAAAATAAATTTTTTTAGAAAACAATTATACTCCAATAATAAAGCGACAACTGGGCTGGGGAGATGGCTCAGTAGCTAAAGCCCTTGCCACAAAAGGCTGAACACCTGAATTCAGATCCCCAGAACCCACATAAAAGCTGGGCATAGTAGCACAAGCATTGACAATCCCAGTGTACTTCTGTGGGGAGGTGGGAGGAATAGACAGAATTGTTGAGGGTTATAGGCCAGCCAGCCAGGTGTATGCAGCAGTAAACAGTAAGAGAGCCTGCCTCACTCAAGGTGTAAGGCCAGAACCAATACCAGAGGCAGGCTGGGATACGAGGCCCTATGTCAAAAACCCAAATTCATTGCTAAGTGCTTTATGTATTTGTAGAATAAAACATGTAATTTGACCTTTATATATAGTAGTGACATTTATTTTGTTCTTTAAGGCTTTCTATTGAGTTATAATTCTCATGCCATAGAATTTGCTATCATAATTGTAACATTCAATGAATTTGTCTATTCATAAACTTTTGTTTTGATGATGAAAACATTCTGGAAATGGATATTTGTGGTATCTGTACAAGGCAAACAAATACATTTAATCTCACTGAATTATATATTTAGAATGATTTAAATAGTAAATTTTATGGTATATCTATTTTAATACAATCTTTTAAAGGCCAGCCTGGTCTACATTAAGAATACAAGGCCAGGGGCTAGAGAGATGGCTCAGCAGTTAAGAACACTGGCTGTTCTTGCAGAAGACCCAGGTTCAAATACCAGCACCCACATGGCAGCTAACAACTGTCCGTAACTCCAGGTAGGAGGACTGCTTATGCCCAGGATTTCAAGGCCAGGAGACCCTATCTCAGAAAACACATGAATAGGTCAGAATAGTGGTGCATGTAGTCCTAGTTCTCAGAAGACTGAGGCAGAACCATTACCTTGAGCCCAGGCCAGCCTATCCTGTCTCAAAAACAATAAATAAATAAATAAATTAATTAATTAATGAAACAGGAGGTGGGGGGAGGAGATAGTTCTATTGGTAAAGTGCTTACTCTGTAAGTATGAGGCTCACAGTTCAGATTTCTAACACTTAAGTGTAGTGTGCTACTGTAATCCTATTGTTGAAGAGATGGAGAGAGAAGGATCCCTGGGGCTCAATGGTCAGTCAGTATACAACTCAACCAGTGAGCTCAAGGCCACTGAGAGACTCTGTCTCAAAAACCAAGATGGACAATAGTTGAAGAAGATACCCAACACTGACCTCTGGTTTCCACACTAACCCATACATTTGAACACATGCACACACATACCCATATACAAACCAACAACACAAAGAGGGCTGGGGATGTAGCTTACTTGGTAGAGTGCTTGCCTAATATGCATGAAACCCTGGGTTTGATCATTAGTACCACCAAACTGGGTATGGTGGTTCCTATCTGTGATTCGAGCACTCAGAAGATGGAGGCAGAAGGATCAGAAGTTCAAGGTCATCCTCTGCTACCTAGCAAGTTCAGGACCAGCTTGAGCTATGTGAGACTGACTCAAAGAAAAGAATGAAGCCAGGTGTGGTGGTGCCTGTCTTTAATCCCAGCATTGGGCAGGCAGAGACACGTGGATCAGTGAGACAGGTGGCCAGCGTGGGCTACAAGGAGGCCCAGTCTCCAAAAAAAAAAAACCAAAAACAGGGAAAAAGAAAGCACACAAAAATTTACCTTTTATCCAAAGCTCTCAAAACTTTAGCAAAGACTTCCAATTCACAAAATTCACTTCCCAGTTGACATAAGCGTCCCTGTTGGTAAAGCTGTAATAAAAAAGAAACATAATTCCAACTTTTAAAAAATTTAACTCTCTAATTATGATGGATTGGATTTAATACTGAGTGAATACATAGGACTATCAGAAAAGATACTTAATGCAAAGAAAAATGTAACACTAACAAATTCTACAACTCATATAAAAACCTTAACAGCTATAAGTAATTAAGAGCTAGTATTGTAAAACACTTAGAACAGTATCAAGAACATGATAAAGTACTATGAAGTGGTGTATAACTACATATTTGAGAAACTGAAAACTGTTTTTTTCCTTCAGCAAAACCGGATAGTTAATTTCAAGTCATCAAAATGATAGCAAACACAGGGTCTAGAAAACAAGAGCTTGTCAATATGCTTTGCTTAGGGACCTTGCAAAACATCTAAAATGCTCAGTACAGTACATTTACCTATAGATACAGGATAGCAGTGTTTCTAGCTATGTCATAGTCATTTATATACTTAAAAAAATTATTACTTTTTTTGTATGTGTATGCATGCATTGCCTGCATATAAGTAAGTGCACCCGTGTTGTGTAGTGCCCACAGAGGACAGAAGAGGCTGTCAGGTCCCCTGGAACTAGTTACAGACAGTTGTTAGCTGCCATGTGGGTGCTGGGATTTGAATCAAGGTCTTCTGCAAGAATAGTGAGTGTTCTTAACCACTGAGCCGTATCTCCAGCCCCTCATTTATATACTCTTACTTCTTAGAATTGGTATATAAAAGAACAATTTAGGGGTTAGCAAGATAGATCAGTGGATACAGGGGCCTGGAGCCAAGACTAAAGATCTGAGATCCCCAGTACGCACATGGTGAAGAAGAGAACCGATTCCTGCAACTGTCCTCTGAGACCTCCACATGCATGTTACAGAACATGCACACCCCTATAAGTAAGCAAATAAATGTAATTTAAAAAGTTTTAATTAAAAGAACAATGTAACATTAAAAAGAGATTTAAAAAAAAAAAAAAAAGGGCCAGGCGTGGTGGTGCATGCCTTTAATCCTAGCACTAGGAGGCAGAGGCAGGCAGATCTCTGTGAGTTCAAGGCCAGCCTGGTCTACATAGTGAGTTCTAGGACAGCTGGGGCTACAGGGAGATCCTGTCTCAAAAAGACCAAAATAAATAAATAAATAAATAAATAAGAAAGAAACTGGAGAGATAGTCCAACAGTTAAAGAGTGCTTGCTGCTCTTCCAGAGGACCCAAGTTTGGGTCTCAGCACCCAAGGTCTGGCAGCTCACAAATGCCTACAACTCCAACTTCAGGGGATTGATGCGTGGGTGTATCCCTCTCTCTCCTCTCTCTCTCTCTCTCTCTGAAGAGAGAAACAGGGCTAGAGAGATGGCTCAGTGGTTAAGAACACTGATTGTTCTTGCAGAAGACCCAGGTTCAAATCCTAGCACCCACATGGCAGCTAACAACTGTTCGTAACTCCAGTTCCAGGGGATCCGACAGTCTCTTCTGATCTCTGTGGGCACTGCACAACACGGGTGCACTTACCTACATGCAGGCGATACACACATAAACATAAAATAAAAATAATAAATAACATATTTTTAAAAAAAGAGAAACACCACCCCCAGGCTCAATTTCACCAAATGCTTTTGAAATATACATATGTTATACAAATAATCAGTACACTCACTAAAAGGCAAGCTTGTTATAGTAATCCACTTTATATTATAGACATTTAAAACTTAACTCAGTTGATGAGAACACTGGTTTCCAAAAAGAAGACAAGGACCAGTTTACTTTGTGTAGGAAAGCAAACTCAGCATACTCTTGTGCATCAAACCATTAATGGGTAAGGGCATGTAGAAGAATGAAACTAGATCCCTCTCTCTTACTATGCACAAAACTCAACTCCAAATGGTTCATGACCCTGATATAATAAGACCAGATACTCTGAATCAGACAGAGGAGAATAGTGAATATATTGACACTTATAGGCCCTACAGGAAAGGACTTTCTTGACCAGGACTCCTGTAGCACAGTCATTAGGTCCAACAACTGACCAACGGAACCTCATGAAACCAGAAAGCTTCTATACATCAAAGGACACCATTATTCAAGTGAAGAAGTAACCTAGAGAATGGGAAAACATCTTTACCAGTTATACCTCTAACAGTTTGTATCTAGTATATACAAAGAACTCAAAAAGCTAAACATTGCCAGGCGTGGTGGCGCACGACTTTAATCCCAGCACTCGGGAGGCAGAGGCAGGCAGATCTCTGTGAGTTCAAGGCCAGCCTGATCTACATAGTGAGTTCCAGGACGGCTGGGGCTACAGGGAGACCCTGTCTCAAAAAGACCAAAAAAAAAAAAAAAAGCTAAACAAACAAACAAACAAACAAAAAAACCCAACCCAATAAAAAAGTGGAGCAAAGAGCTGAACAGGGAGCTTTAAAAATGTTCAAGGGGCTGGAGAGATGGCTCAGTGGTTAAGAGCAATGGCTGCTGTTGCAGAGGACCCAAGTTTGAACCCCAGCATCCACATGGTGGCTAACAAGTGTCCTTAATTCCAATTCCAGGGGATCTGAAGCCCTCTTCTGGCCTATACAGTTCTGGCCTAACACACAAATGAACAGGCAGGCAAAACACACAAATGAACAAAATTAAAATAAATTTTGGGGCTGGTGAAATGTCTCAGGGGAAGAGGCACCTGGTGTAAAGCCTGATGACCTGAGTTCCATCCCCAGGATCCATATGGTGAAAGGTAAGAACCAAGTCCTGCAGGTTGGCTTCTGACCTACACACACACACACACACACACACACACACACACACACACACAGAGTGGCAAACACAACATAAATAAATAAATGAATAAATACTTGAAGAAAAACAAACAAGGACAACTGCTGGTGAGGATGTGAGGAAAGGGGAACTTGACTCTGCTGGGTAGAGTGCAAACTGGTGCAGCCACTAAGGAAATCAGTGTGGAGATTCCTCAGAAAACTTAAAACTGATCTAACATATGACCCAGCCATACCACAAAGACTCTATACCCTATTACAGAAATAAATATTATCCACGTCCATTACTGCCCTTTCCATAATAGCCAGAAACTGGAAACAACCTAGGTGTCCATGAATTGAATGGATGGATAATGAAGGTATGATACATACACACAATGGAATATTATTAGCTCTTTAAAAAAAAAAAAAAAAAAAGATGACGAAACTGCCAGGAGTGGTGGTGCATGCCTTTAATGCCAGCACTGAAGAGGCAGAGGCAGGCGGATCTCAGTAAGTCCAAGGCCAGCCTTGATTTACAAAGAGAATTTTAGGCCAGCTGGGGCTACAGGGAGACCCTGTCTCAAAATGCCCTCCCCCTAAAACAAAAAAAATGAAATTACAAAATTCACAGGTAAATGGATGGATGGAACTAGAAACAATTATCCTGAGTGGGGCAACCCAGACCCAGAAAGACAAATGCTACATGTCCTCTCTCACAGTTCGATGCTAACTTTGAAATTTTAGATATGTATGTTTCAATCTGAAAATCCAGAAATCAAGAAGATAATAAATGGCCATGGGTGGGGGAGGCTTCCTGGGAGGGGTGGTAGAATGCAGTGATGAAGGGGAAAGGGGAACACTAGAGTAGGAGGGGTTAAATGGGGGCGGGAATGGGGGGGTAGGGCAGAGGAAGGAGTATGGGGAGGAATAACACTGAAGGCCTTTAGAAAAAGCAATATGGAAACCTACCACTATAGAAGCTTCTTAAAGTATATACATATACATTATAAAAAGAGATTCAAAGAAGTTAGTGTTTAACAGGGGAACACTGTCCCTCTAGACATCATAGGCTAAGGAAAAAAAATCTCAGTGCCAAGAATGGACTCCCTCTCTAGAAGCTGTTGACCAGAGAGATTCCCATAGACCATCAAACAATACTGGCCATTACCCCTGCTCTTGGTTACCCTCCAGAACTTGATTGTAAAACGCTACTGCTGAAGATGCTACATACATGAGCTGTAGAACAAACAAGGAAATCAAGCTGGCGATGACTTTCATAGTGCTGAAAGGTGCTATGCATACTACTAGAAGTAAAAAAGTCATCAACCTTACCCAGCTGTGAATCCTGTTAAGTACAACAGTTGGCATGGCAAGATATGCCCAGGGGTACATAGTGGCACAAATATTATGGGAGTAACCAACCACTCTCTAATTGGATTTAAGGTCTGCTTTATACATTGATATCAGGCTTAGGAACCCAAGGCTAGGTAGGTCACAGGACACAGGGGAAAGCCTAATACTAGTTTTCTATTAAATAGTTATCACATTAAACTGACTCCTAATGACTTATTTTTATACCCATAGATTAATGAATCTCTCACCTCTCACCAGAGCTTCCTTATGCAGCAGATAGTGATAAACACAGAAACAACAGATTAACAGGCAGAGAACAAGAAGCTGCAGAGAGCTCATTCCTGTAATAGGACACCTATATCAAACGTCTGCCTCCCAAGGCTCAGCAGTCACTGTGGAAGAGGGGAACAGAAAGATTAAAAGAGCCAAAGGTGACAGAAGGCCAAAAGGAAAGTTTTCCAGTCAGCTGGTCAATTACTCATATGAACTCACAGCAATTGTGACAAAGTCCTGTGAAGCTCAAACCAGAAAAAATTCTAGTATAGACATGAAGAAGTAGGTAAGAAACTGCAGTGTAACTCTCCTAGCTTTGGAGAGCACTGTACAAGCTGCTATGGGGAGAACATCAACTGATGGTCCAGCCTAGCTTCAAGGCCCAATGATTGGCATTGCTAATGACATGGGTGCAGTGTGGCACTTTTATCTTGGAGATACAACAACTACCTAATCGGACTTAAAGCCCACTCAATGGAAGGAAACTCATGTGTGGTACTGTAAACATAGTCAAATACATGTAGCTGGAGAGGTCTTAGATCTTAGAGAAAATCCCAAGGCTGTCACATCCCTAGACAAATGTAATTTCTTACTATGTACAAAATATGGATACTTATATTTACAGA